CGGAAGAGGAGGTTGGAATTCCTCTCCCCACAGACACGCTCCAGAAAGGTTCTTGGAAATCTCTGCAGAGGAACGTCTAGTTCTCAGAGCTAGACTGGACCCCTCTGTCGGTCTGGGATCATAAAGAGACCTCCCACTCCTTACAATGTCCGCTAGAACCAGGCGGCTGGTGTTCCAGACCGGAAGGCTTTTCAGAGCCCAGCAACTACTTCTTATTTCTGATTGCAGCCTTTACTGACCTGGGGTCAGTTCTTGATGAGGACATCAGTCTAACCTGCCTGGTGCCAGCTTCCTCCAGCTCGAGACATCAATCATGAACTGGTAATCTGGCCCCCATGGTCTGGTACAGACAGGTGATGGCTGAGCTTGGTCCATGCCTGCTCCAGCCTGGGGCACGCTGGTCACAATTCCATAGAATGAGTCATATGCTGCCGCCTGTCCTGGCCCTTTCTATCCCCTGTGGCTTTAATGCAAATGTCACCCCGTGGGATCCTTTCCTTGTGGGACTTTATTTATTTATTTTTAAATGCCATATTGGAAAGGACATTTGTCTTCTCTTCTGCTTAAATTGCTTTCCATGGGTTTGGGAGACCTGGCCATCGATTTTCTTTTAGCGTGTGTAGAAAGTGCCGTGAAGATTTTGGCTAATTAACTTTTGGAGAAGTGCTGCTTACATTTATCCCGGAGGTTGAAATCTTTCTCCCCCCTCCTCCCATATCTCCAAGAATGGCTTTTAACTTTTGTTTTCAAGTACTGCCAGCACCCAATCTGTGTAAAGATGACGTCTTCCCTGGAGACAGGTGATGGTCTAGAGGCTGTGGGATGTCACTTTGTGAGGCTCCAGTCCTTAGCGCAGTGGGTTAGAGGCACTTGCTGAGCAAGTCCAACGACCTGAGTTCAATCCCTGGAACCCATGTCAAGGTGGAAGGCGAGAACTCTGGTATTTAATATTTATAAGATGTTTCATTCACATGAAGTTTACTTCATGAAGTGCTCAGAATCCACATTTCCCCCAGCACGCCTGTGGTACTGACACTGTATTCAGAGACCAACTCCCTTCTCACTGTGTCCCAGCCTTGTTTGGCTTTCTCCTCCATTCGCTATGAGGCACAGATGTTGGACTTCACTGTTCATTCTGAGTAAGCCCATTTTCTTGTTCCTCTTATGTGGGCCAAAGCTGTTGGAAGTGAGGAGTATGACAGGGAAATTTGCCTTGAAATCTTTCTGTGGATTTCTCTGGTACAGGCTTCCAGAGGTCTATCTGGAAGAGAGAAATCCCGTTCCAGGAGATGAAGTTTACCCTACCCACTCCCCTTTTTTGGGCTCAATTTATAATTTTGTTTTCCCCTCCCTTAACCAGAATTTCTTAGGTTGAACTAGTTAACATCTTTTTTAGAAAAAGTCATGGGATGAGCCTGGATGGATGGTGGTGCACCCGTCACCTTGGTCCTGGGGAAGCTGAGGCAGGAACACGGGCTATGTAGTAAGATCCTGTCTGAAACAAACAGCAGACTATGGGAACCCTCTCCCTGTGGTACTCTGAGCAATTCCCATCAATGTGGCATGGGTGGTCGCTGCTGGAGACCCCGGGCACGCTGTATCATCTCGCATGGCTTAAACTGCCTGCAAATGGTTCTGTTCCTCTGAGACGCATCGCCTTAGCACGGGGAACCATTCAAGCTGGTGCGACACAGGCAAATACTTTGTTGAAAGTGTTCTTCATTTTTGATCCATCTCGTGGTCCTTGTTAGTATCTTTGATTACATCAGATTATGTGCCGTTCCATTTTATAGCATTTTAATGGGCTTTCTGCTCCCCTCCCCAGTTCATTTCCTGCTGTGTGGTTATTAGGATTTGATGGTAGCTTGGTTTTGTTATTGCTGGGATACCTTCTGTGTGTGCTAACCCTTCCGTGTGAATGTGGGGACTCTTCAGACTTGAAGAGAGCGAGTGGGGGATGGGAAGGGAGTGGGGGTGGAGTGCGGTGGGGATCTATTGTTTGTTTCTCAGAGGCTTGTCAACAATTAAATTACAGATGAACCTTCCATGACTGTATTCTCCAACTGTAAGATATTTGCTTTGGATACTTTGGTAGGAGGCTGGTGGGATCACTTGGGGGCTAAAGGTGCTTGTGGAGCAAGCCTTGGGATCTCAATTCTGTCCTTGATGGAAGGAGAGAACTGTTTCTGCCAAGTTGTCCTCTGCCCTCCACACACGTGCCCTGCCCCCACACTCACACACTAGTGATGATGATGATCAGAATAAAGTTAAAAAATCTTTAGTAGAATCTACCCATTGACTTAAAAAAAGAACAGGAAAGGCTGCTTAAGACCTTGCTGTCTAGCAAGCAGTAGTGGAATGGGCTGGGATTAGAACCCTGTGCATTGCTGGTGGTCTTGTGAACTGGCTGAGCCTCTGTGAGAAACAGTATGTTAGTTCTTTTTTTTTTCTGATCTGATTTTTTTTATTAAGAAGATGTCTGATTAAATTTATCATAGCTTATCCAAAGGAAATGAGAAAGAAAAAAGTTTGAGAAGACATCAACTAAAGCATAAAGAAAACTAATTCTTTCTTGTAGCAGCTGCTGCAGAGTGCAAGCGAATCTTTCTGGTGTTCTGTAGGGATGCAGTTGAGTGAGAGCGCCTTTGGATTTTAAGCCTTTCTTCAGAACCATTCCACTTACCAATAACACAAGCTCCACGGTGAAAGAGTCTCAGTAGAAGAAGAAACAGAAATTCCCCTACACAGGAGGCTGTCTCTGTTCTGTAATTATGGAACGAGGAACCATAATTCACTTTTCAGCTTGGAAAGCTGATAAACTCAAAAGTGTCAATATTTTTAACTAAGGGCACAAAATTCCATAAAGTTTATATAATTCGCTGCTTCAAGTGCTAAACATTTGCAAAACGAGGCCACCTAAGTCCCTTCCCAACAGAGTAAAATATAGTGGCATTGTCAAAAGAAAATTAATTCACAAAATAATAAAGTACTTTATATATTATGCTGGCTACATTTTTGCAAGCTGGGAACAAGTGAGAGTCATCTGGAAAGAGTGAGTCAGTTGAGGAGCTGTCTCCATCAGGTTTGTAGGCAAGTCTGTAGGGCACTTTCTTTTTCTTCTTTTCTTTTTTTAAAAATTTCTTTTTTCTTTCCTCCTCCTCCTCTTCTTCTTCTTCAGAAAACAAACTATCTTTTTTGCATTTTACATACCAATCCCAGTTCCCACTCCTTGGTAGTTCTTAAAAAGAAAAACAGAAACAAATAAAAGCAGAGTTTCCACATGGTCCATCAAATCCACTCTTAGGACTGAACTCTAAATAATTGAAAGTAGAGGCTTGATATTTATACCCTTATGCCCATGGGGTATTGTGACATATTTTCTATAGGGAGTATAGTTATTACGTTCACAGTGATTAGAGCATGAAAGCAATCCAGGTATCCACTGGCTGATGAACCGATAAGCAAAGTATGCAATATAATACAATCAGAAACCGAAGGATATTCTGGCATATATTACAGCCTGGATGAATCTAGAATACTGTAATATGCTAAGTGCAATATGTTGGCCTCAAAAGATCCAAATTATATGAAATACTTGATTCACAGGCATCAAATTGACTCTTTAAATTGGGTCACCACCCTGCAAACCAAGGTGGCTTTATATTTGTGTCTTCAACTCTGGGCATTGAATTGCTTTGAGTTCAACTGTTATTATTATTAATTTTGTCCTAACTAAAAACCACATGTCTCTGTGTGTCTGTCTGTGTGTATAAATGCTACATACATGTGCCTGCATGGAGGTCAGAAGAAGCTTGAGTTACAGGTGGGTGTAAGCTGTCTGACCAGGGTGCTAGGAACCAATCCCAGGTCCCCTGGAAGAGCAGTGACTGCTCTTTAACAGTTGAACCTTCTCTCCAGCCTCACTATTTTAATTTTTATTAATTAGAATTAGTCTTTGGAAATTCTATACACATAATGCATTCTGATGACTGTCCCCACCTCTCTTATAGCTCACCCACCTGCATGAACCGCATCTCCTCCAGACAAGTCCCTGTCTTTTGTTTTGTTTTATGTCTTACTGTGTTTAAGGAGGGTTGTGTGACCAGGGGTTGGGACTATGCACTGGAGCTTAGTAGGCTCCCTTTGCTGGCTGCACAACTGGGGACAGTGACTTCCCCTTCTGTAGCATCCCTCAGCAATTTCCAAGGGGGTGGGGGAGTGTCAGACATTATTTTAAATACTTCCCTTGTTTGCTTTTACTCAGAGAAAGGTCTTTTTGTTTTGTTTTATTGTTGTTGTTTTTTAGACACAGGGTTTCTCTGTGTAATAGTTCTGGCTGTCCTAGAACTCACTTTGTAGACCAGGCTGGCCTCAAACTCACAGAGATCCCCTTGCCTTTGCCTCCTGAGTGCTGTGATTAAAAGCATGCACCACCACACCCGGCCCAGAGAAAGTTTTTTTTCTTTAACTGTGGGGGCATATCCATGGTGTCCTTTTTCAAATGCTTCTTACAACGAATGGCTGAGCCTCCACAGGATGTCTCCTCTGCCCTTGTAGTCGTGGTTTATCCTAAATACTCTTCTGTCACAAGTAGGAACCTGGGTGGGTTTTGGCAACTTCTGAGAGTCAAGTGTAGAGGTGCTCAAGGAGGGGGCTCTGGTTCTGGATGTTCTCTAAGTCCTATGCAGGACATTGTTACTGAACCACCTCCAAGGGGTGGCCATGTCTCAGCTGGTCACCTTAATGATGGTGTTGTTCTTTGGGTCTATTTTATTATTTTTTTGGGGGGTCTATTTTTAAAGATTTTCTAAGTGATTTAGTAGATTTGGGACAGGAAGTGGAATCTGGTAGAGATTTGATGACAAATGGGGCTCCTGGTGCCCACCAACTTAGTTGCCATTAATGTGGTTTCTTCCTTGGAAGAGGGGAGGGGACCGCTTCCCTCTGGTTGTGTTTCCATGCCCCCTGGTCTCACTCCTTTTCTTTCTTGCCTCCTATAGGCTTGGGGACCAGTTCTACAAGGAAGCCATCGAGCACTGCCGGAGCTACAACTCACGACTGTGTGCCGAGCGGAGCGTGCGTCTCCCCTTCCTGGACTCACAGACTGGGGTGGCCCAGAATAATTGCTACATCTGGATGGAGAAGAGGCACCGAGGCCCAGGTGAGCCATGCCTCTGCTGGGACCAGCATGCACCAGGGCTCCAGTCTGGAGGAAAGAGTCTGGGAGTCCACACAGCTGGGTGGGTTGGGGGTCAGAAAGTCCTTCCCCAAGGGACCAGACAAGGATGGTGTGATGTATTTATCATAAAGAAATCCTATGAAAGCGGTCTTCATTTTTCACCCTTGGGTGTTGACTAAAGATCTGCGGATGTGCTTAGTTGTGGGAATAAGGCTTAGTTTTGTCATGAGAACTCTGTCTCTGAGGCTCGTCATCTGTGAAGGGTGGATAACCTCAGTATTTACTACCCAGGGTTTATCGGGATTAAATGACACTGTCTATGAACAACTCAATATGCACATGCTCTAAAATGCTCGATGTTATTGCTGTCACGACCAGGATTCTAATCTAGGCTTCTTAGAATCAAATAAACTCCACTGGTGTAGATTAGGGAGACAGCTAGCTCTAGAATTGCAGTTTCTGTGGTCTTAGCTATTTTAAAATAATTGTATGCATATGTATATATGTGCATATAACTGTTCCCGTGTGTGTGTGTGCATGGGGTGTGTTGGCACAAGTGTGCATGCAAGCCTCTTCCTTAATTAGATGTTCTTCACTATCTTTTTTGAGGTAGGGTCTCTCGCTTTTACCCAGAGCTTGCCGATTCAGCTCGGCTGGCCAGCCAGGGTGTGTGCATTTACATGGGTTCTGAGGACTGAACTCGGATCTGTGCTTTTGTGGTAAGCACATGACTGGCTAAGCCTAGCTTCTGCCTCCCCCTGACCCCACCCCCATATTCTGTAGCTCTCACATAGCCTAGGCTGATTTTAAACTTGCTATGGAGCCAAGCTCCCCCTCCGTGTCCTCTTGCCTCTGCCTCTCAGGTGCTGGGATTAAAGATATATACCACCACACCTGGCTCTGCATGAGTATATTAAGCAAGATTTTGTTTTGAAAGGTTTCATACTTGTGTAAAATTTGGATGACGGCAGAGGAAATTGAAATCCTCACGGCCAAGCTCGACAACAGTCACCTATGGCCAATCGTTTCGTTCTTACTTAGCTGCCACCTTTCTCCCCGACTCTGGGTGACTTTGAAGTAGATCTGGGACAACGCATCATTTCATGTATAAATACTATGGACTTCAAATGTCAAGCCAGTTGGGTGCAGTGGGACATGCTTGTAATCGCAGTGTTTAGGAAGCTGAGAAAAGAGGATTGCAAGTTGAGGCCAGCCTGAGACACATGACTAGATTCTACCTGAAAAGATAAAGGAGAAGACCACCCCTTCCCACAATTATGATCAAATCAGAGAGTCGGCGTTCATTCCTCCCACTGCCTCTAGCGTGAGCTCCAAGCAGGATTTCTACGTTGCAACTGGTGGATGTGCCTCCCAGAAGCCTGCAGCCTTTTCTCTGGCACACACACTCTCCCTTGTATGCTATTTGTTGAAGAAACTGGGTTGTTGGCACTGTAGGGTTTCTCTGAGCTCAGATTTGCTGATTGCATCCCCATGGAGTCATTCCTGTGAGTTGGTAATTAGGTCTAGAGACTTAGTCAGTCTCTCTCTCTCTCTCTCTCTCTCTCTCTCTCTCTCTCTCTCTCCTCTCTCTCCTCTCTCCTCTCTCCTCTCTCCTCTCTCCTCTCCCCTCCCTGGCAAGGGTAATTCCGAAGTGGTAGTTTGTGCCTTCATCAGGAGGCTCATACAATCGGGTTATCTTCCATTTATTCATGTTAGCGTCCTTAATGATAATCATCTAGATTTTTTATTCCATTAAGAGTAGCAAAAAAAGAAGTGGCCTTTGATTGGGGGCCATCGTTGTTTTTTTATTTATTAGCTCTACAGCTTCTGTAAAGAAAAACATCCTCTCATTAAAGCTTTGGTTATGGTGAGGTACAGCTGACACGAGATAAATGGCATTTCCCCTGTATTTACCAGGTTTCAGAATAATGAGTTGATTCCTTGGTATTGTCCGAAGCTGATCAATACAGTTATTTTAAGTGCTATCATGAACTCGGACTTAAACACATTTGATGCACTTTAATCCATTGCGGTTGTTATTCTGATTGATGGTTACATGGTCCCACCTTCAGCCAACCAGCAGGGCTTTGGAAACAGCCCCAGTCCCTTCTGATGGTTTCCCTGCCGTCCCAGTATCAGGACAAATCGATGCAGGCTCACCTCATGCACTTCCTGCCTTGGACCAGATGGAACTGCTTCTCCTAGGAGCCCCGGGTTCTTGTTTTTGTAGGAGATTTTTAGAAGCAAACATCTATGCGATTCACGGCTTCTAGGTTTATCATTGTTTCTCAGGCTTTTCAGTCAGCACAGCTATAAAGTATGATATTTTTAAGTGAAATATGCTGTGGAATTCTATCCTAGATAATTCAGTTTTGAATAGTTTGTACTTAGCTATTTTTATTCTATCTTCCCTTTTTCAGACATCCAACACACACACACACACTCCCTGCAAGGGTATGCATGTACATACATATTACACATGCCCATATACATGCAAAATGCATACATGCATACAACACATATACACATATACCCTCAAAGGTGGATTTCATGATACTGATACTCTTGCTTTATCCCATACAGTGCTCACAACAGACACAGCATCATAGTAACAACAAGACTATTCATAAAGATTACTGGACAGGGTTTAAGATTTCTTTTTTCCTTTTGCTTTTTGTAGGTCTTGTTCCCCTTAGGCTGTGGTGTCAAAGCACTCCGCCTTAAAGTCACTTCAAATAGTTTTCTGTGTTGGTCGTGACAGTAAGTCTCCTATATGGTTGGATTTATAGGTTTTGTTTTGGTTTTATTTCTTAGGGGTTGCTTTGTGCAGAGGTTCCATAGAATTCTTTTCTGAAAATTAGCTTCTCATTTTGAGTCACTGTATAGCTCCTGAAAACCACAAACACATTACAGAGAACGCCTTTCTGATTCTCATTCTCTTTCCTCTAAGAGCGGACCGGAATAACACACCCCAAGTTGATATTGGTAAAATGCATGTAAATAGCTCTTGCCATTTTTTTAAAATTTAAATTAGTTTTAAAATTCAAATACATTTTGACCATATTCTTTCATTCCCCCAAGTCCTTCCAGATCCTTTCCCCGTCCCTACCCACCCAACTTTAAATTCTTTCTCAGAAAACAGGCAAAACCCCAATACAGCAACAAATTCCCCAAACCAAAAAAAAACCAAAAACCAAAAAACAAACAAAAAAAAAACCCAACAAAATAAAACACTACCCAAAGGAAATTAAAAAAAAACAACAACACCAGATCGTAACCAAATAAAAACACACACACACACAAACTGCGGAGTTTATTATCTGTTTGTCAGCTGCTCTTGAATGTGAGGCCTTCCTTGGGGTGGCTGATCTGCCCAGGGCCGCTCCGCTGGAGAAAACTGGTTTTCCCTCTCCCAGCAGGTATAAATGACAATTTAGGTTTTAACCTTTTCCAGTGTCTAAGTTTTTATTTATCCATTCACTTTCAAAAGATATAACAAGATAGTATATAATAAAACAAAAACTGTCACATTGAAGTTGGACAAGACAAAACAACAAAAGGAAAAGAATTCAAAGGAAGGCACAAGCATCAGAGTCCCACGTCTTCACACCCCCAGGAATCCTATAAAATCACTAAACCGGAGTCCTAAGCGCAGAGGCCTGGGTGCAGACCCGTGAAGGCCCTCTGCTGCTCCAGTCTCCATGAGTTCCTGTGGGCTTTGCTCATTACTGATTTAGAGGGCCTTGTTTTCCTGGTGCCCTCCATCTCCTCTGGCTCCTACACTGCCTCCTCTCCCACAGGGTTCCCTGGAGACCTTGCCTCTTTATCACAGGTAACCAACACCACAGTCAAGAGCTGAAACCATTTCCTCACCAGAGATCTTTTTCATATAACCCCTTTATAACTGCACCTAATCTTCTCTCTCATCAAATCCTCTCACCGTCTCCAGTTATAAAATAGCTCGGTTGGTTAGACGGTGGTACTAATAAATAGCTATCTTAAACCTTTCCTGTCTACTGAAGACCACATCAGATTATCAAGTCCAACCTAGAGTTCTTGAAAATTTTTTTACATTTACTTAAGGATCTGTGATAATTCTTAGGTTTCCTTCATCAGAGAACATGTTGATTTTTTCTTCATTCCCAAAGAACACTTTTTATGGATATAAAGCTACAAATTGATAGTCCTTTTTGAATAGCGTTTGGACAATCTGTAACTTCTTCAGATGATTTGTGATGAGGAAACTGCTGTCAGTCACGTGGGTTTCCCCTGGTATGAGAAGGTCCATCTTCTGGTCCGTCTTCTACCACCGTCAAGCCTTTGCTTTTAGTTTTCAAAAGTTTAATTTTGATGTGTCTTTGGATGGATTGGTTCAGCTTTATTTTATTTGAAGCTTACTTGGCTTCCTGAACTTACAGTTTTTTCCGCTCCGATTTTGAGAAATTGCTGGCCGTTATTTCCAGCACCATTTTCTTTCCTTTTGAGATTCTAACAACACACATCTTTTGCTCCCTAGGCTCTATCTTTTTTTGTTTAAAAATTTAAACCTTTATTACGTATGAGTGTTCTATCCATGTGTGTGCAGTGCCTGCAGATGCCAGAAGAGGGTGTTGGATCCCCTGGGATTGGCATTACAACAGTTGTGAGCTGCCATGTGGGTGCTGGGTATCAAATCCAGGTCCTCTAGAAGAGCAAGGAGTGCTCTTAACTGCTGAGCCATCTCTCCAGCCCCCTAGGCTCTATTTATTTTGTTTTTCAGTTCCTTAATTAGATATTTTCTACAATTTTATCTTTCATTTACTGCTTCTTAGAATTTTCTCCTGATGAGCTTCACCCATAGAGAATTTTTTGGTTTTTTGATTACTATTTTTCTTCTCAATTTACTATTTGGTTCCTTGTATTTTTGTGTATTTTTTCTCTTATTGAAAATAGATTTTTTTTAAATACAATATATTTTGATTTTGGTTTCCCCTCGCCCAACT